TGATCCTATGGCAGCTGACTGACCAAGCCTTAGAGTCTGGTGGCCACAGGTTCCACAGAGTATGCTAACTACAGTAGCGCTTGAAGGGACTCTGGCCAGTGCGAGCCTGGCAAGCAGGGCTCTGGCAGGCCTTGCCCTTCTCCTTCAGTCCCTCTGCATTGCTAAAAACCATTAGATTACATTCCTAGAACTGGCCACCAAGATCTATTCCCTTATTTGGCCATTTCCTGCTCATGAGTCTGACTACCAAGGTCCAGCTAGTAAAGTCTTGAAGTCCAGCAATCAAAAGCCCCCTTTGGTTCTCTTAATTAACATGCCCAATCAAAACACACCACCACTGCATCCTAGCCCACTCTAACACAGCCCTCTCCTTTTTCTCTTCTTAAAAATTACACCTGCAAGGTCACTTGAGGTTGTTTTTCTGCCTGAGTCAGAAAGCAGCCTCTTTAACTTTTCTTTCCCACTTAATAAACGGTCTCTCTGTGAAAACAGGTGTTTGAGTGTTTGTGCTTAATCTGGGATCTGAAGGTAAAATCCTGTTATGTGGAGGTCTCCTTCAGTGTTTCCTGTGGGCTCTTCTGAAGGCTTTTGTTCACGAGGCCATACACGAGCATGGAGCCTGGAATTGGACTCCAGCAGACATTGGGTGCTTGGCAGCCCCTGGATATTAGTGAGTCACTCCCACTCAAGTTGTGACTCTCCGTATTAACATTTATGGAGCCCAAGGACCAACTCTTCAGAGCCACAGTAAAGATGCGTGGGCTGCAACTTCTAAGAGCATTTCTAACAAGTGAACATCTTTAGGGCTGAATTCCATGCTGTGCCAAGCTGTGTGTGCGCCACAGCATCCTATCCTTGCTAGGCCTGTACTCCTGACAATTTATTTGTACCTGGAGACAACAGGAATCTCCTGGTGAGAGAAGAAAACTTTTTCCCCCACTGTCAATGCTGATGGCAGGACCACCCTGCCAACAACCAGCTAGTTAACCCTTGTTATAAATACATACATACATACATACACAACTTCCTTGTCTTCTTATGTGAAAATAATAGAGGACAAGGCTTAGTCGGGATAACTTTCAGAATTAGACAATATCTCCACAGTGATTGCCTCAGATACGACTGGCAGAATTAAGATCATAGGTAATGTCATACCACATATTCTCTTTGTAACTCTATCTTAAAAACCTATCCACATGGCCCTGGAGTTGAGGGTGGGGGACAAATGGAGTATGCTCAAGAGCCTGGGATGCATTTTGTCGCTATGATGACACTCTTGTTGTGGAGTGGGGCTGATCGGTGCTGCTGCTCTGGGATTGGCTCACCTCCTGACCTCCAATTCTGAGAAAAGCTGGTCATTCACTGACCTCTGGAGTAGCTGTGAACATGTAACAAGCACTTCTTCCTTTTCTGCAACTTTTGAAAAGCGGAACATCTTTCCAGACAAGCCCCACTCTAGATAATACTGCAGAACTTGTAAACAAACCTGCATCCAAGAATTTCCTTAAAGGAGAAGCTGGGAACAAGACCTGAGAAACATGGAGAGCGACGTGTCATGGGCCATTCTATTCACTGCACACTTGATGGGAGGTGCCCTTTTCGGCATCCTTTCTTACCAGTTTAGCTCATTTTCTCTCTACCCCTCCTTTGAGGATGGGCGCCCTGGTCAGCTGAAGTTCTCTAAAAATGGAAGATCATAGGGAGATCAAAGAGACAGGGGAATGAAAGAACACAATAGTAGGTAGCTGCAGGATTTAAAGTCAAGAAACCGACCCAATGCAACTGGGGATGGCTTGTCTGTAGGGATGAGTGCCCAAACAGGGACCGACTGAAAGAGAGCCTCAAACTGAGCAAGGCAGGAATAGAAGAGAGAGACCAGCAAATGAAGTGGGGAGGGTGTGGGAAGGGAATGGAATTGTGGTGTGCGATTGTTTCCTGTGGCTGCAGTAACAGGTGCCAACAAATTTGGTAATTTAAAACAACAGATATTTTCCACAGTCCTGAAGAAAGATCAAAGTGTTTGGAATCCCACACATCCTTCTGAGGCTCTTAGGGAAGAACAGTCCCTTGCTTCTTCAGCTCCTGGTGACTGTCAGCATTTCTAGGCATGTGGCTATATCTACCTGTGTCTTCACATTCCATTGTTGGCATTTTTAAAACATATATAGACACTGTTATTGACTTTAGGACCTATGTTTTCATCCATACCTGTAACTGTAACATAGTTACATTTACAGATCCTGTTTGCTAGTTTTGGGTTCTAATGGCCATTAGATATAGGGTGATGTTGGAATATAAGGTCTAAGAAAAATCTAGATATGGACAGTTCTTGAACATATATCATTTAATTCATTACAGGGTGGGAGAAATCCAAAGTAGAGTGAAGCAAGTCAGAAGGTCAGGGCAAGCAGACTTTTCTTTGGAATTTGTTTAGGGTTTTATGTGCTTGCCATCACTTGAGGCTCGACAGCCTGTCTGGAGTTCACTTGGGTCTCACCTACACCACAGCTTTCTCTGCTTTTACAGATCTATTCAGAAAACTTAGAGGCTCATCCCTACTTCTCTACCCTCATCCAACTGCACCAAGCACATGGCTCACACAAGGCACCACCCACACACTAAAATATTTTACGGAGGTCAGTGTTCCTCTTACATAAAACCTCTTCCCACTTATCTGCTTTCTAATTTCCTGGACCCCTCCAAGATTCTGGCTTTCTCTTCTTTCCCCTAATTCAACTCCTCCACTTTGTTATGGAAGGCAATTTAATTCTCTTTCCATTTACTTTGCCCCAGGCTTACCTTTGCATAGCCAAAGACTCATTAATGTCTCCATAAAGCAAAGCGCCATTTATGCAAGATGCAAGGCAGAGGCATTGGCACATACTTTGTGGGCGCCCTCTCTCTCTTTCTCTCTCTCTCTCTCTCTCTCTCTCTCTCTCTCTCTCCCTCCTCCTCAAGTTGTACAGACAGTTTTCTTCAGGAATGATGAAGCGGCTAAACTCTGGATGTTAAATAATCTTTTACTTCATTTCTGTTACATGAATATTTCCTTGACACGTATTTCTTCTAAACATGTCTTTAATGCTGTGGTTCTCAAATATTTGATTTCAGAAAACTTTTATATTCCTACAAAATTATGCAGGGCCTTAAACAATTTTTGTTTACATGGATTTTATCTATTGATAGTTACTATATTAGAAATGAAATGGGAAACTTAGAAATATATATCCACCTAAAATAATTAGGGTACATCTATTACATATTAACATAAACATCTTCATAGGGAAAATAGTTTTCAAAACAATAGAGAACTTGGTAAGAAGAATTGGTACTTGCAGTTTTGCAATTCTCTTTTAAGTCTGGCTTAATGGAAGACAGCTGCTCTGCATTTAACTTATAAGATCAGTGTCTCTGGAAAACTCAACCATACAACTGATTAGAACATGCAAGTGTAAAGGCACATATGATCCTAGGATTTTTATGGAACTAGCTTTTCATCTTGCTGACTGTTAAAAGTTGGATTTTAATATACATCATAGCTATGCTTCCCTTTTAAGAAAAACAAAATCCAGAAAAGTTGGTATTGAATTAAAACTAAACCATGGGGTCCCACACTCCTGGACAAGAAACTATGGGACTACACGCAACTATGACTGGTGAGAGGGAGAGTTAGCCTAGGGATGAACCCACTAGTTAGTTGTCCAATACAAAGTGATTACCCCTGAAACCATATACACAACACCAACAACAGCCAGGTTCAGCAGGTTGTGCTTACATATTCATGGAGACTTATACATATACGTAAGAATAATAATTCAGGGAGAGGGACTATCAATTTGAGACTGAGTCGGGGGATGTGGAAACAGTTGAAGAGGATTTGATGGGACTGGAGAGAAAAAAAGAGGAGTCAAAGTGGTGTATTTTAATTAAAGGTGTACACAAAATAAAATGGACCATGAACCAAGCCTTCAGAAAAATTTTATTGGCTGGCTTTATGCAACTCAAGGAATTCTCTGTCTCTGCCCCTTTTTCTTTCTCTATGATAACTATGATTCAAGAGAGCACTTTTCAAAACTACTCATTAAGTATGACCATAACTCAGTATCAAGGTCAATCTGGCCGGTCGGTGGTGGGACATGCCTTTAATCTGAGCACTTGGGAGGCAGAGGCAGGCTAATCTCTGTGAGTTTGAGGCCAGCCTGGTTTACAAAGCAAGTTCAGGACAGCCAAGGCTCTGTTACACAGAGAAATCCTGTCTCAAAAAACCAAACCAAATCAAAACAACCCAAACCAAACAAAACAAAAACCACCAGGGTCAGTTTGTTTAACTTTTGCCTGGCTCTGATAAGTTCCTGCAAGCTCTCCACATCTCTACTCAGAGATGTCTGCCCTAGGCATCATATGTAAGAAGACTAAGGACAACCATATTATCAACAACGGCAACATCTACTGGTCACGTACTAAAAGTCAAACGATATGAAAACGTTTTATATGAGCATTCTTTTTAATTCTGTACATTCCCAGGAAGGCGCTGGTTTTGCTTTACTGAAGTGTTGGAGAAGGTTGGAGAAGAAAGACCTCTGGCCCCTAACTGTATACACTTACCCTGTCCTAGCTCCTGCACACAGATGGTCATCATTCGTTGCTGTTCAAGGGGATCCCTTGACGACAAAGGTCAAAAATGTTACGCCTCCTTCCTGTCAACCAAACCGCCCGCCTGCTTTCTAAAGAATCATAAGGGAGAGATCTTTCTTGCTTCCTGAAGCTTTCGTTCCTGAAGCTCAATTCTAGAAGCACTGGGAAATTTCTGAGCGTCTGAGCCCGGCGAAGTTTACAGGGAGAAGAAAGGCGTGCGGATGCACTGAGTGTGGCTATCTGGAGTGGAGATTCCGCACGCTGGGCTGAGGTCGGAACCCTTCTCCACTCGCTGTGGTATGCGGAACCTTTCTTCTCTGACTACAGTTCCCAGGCGGAGGCATAAGAAATAGGAACGTCCCTCAGTGACCGGGTTCTTGCTGGGGTCGCCTGCTGCTGACGTGTGCCGACTGGCTTCTGGCCGCGGTGCGGGTCGCTATGGCGGTGGACATCACACTGCTCTTCCGCGCCAGCGTCAAGACAGTAAAGACGCGGAACAAGGCACTGGGAGTGGCAGTGGGTGGAGGGGCCGATGGCAGCCGGGACGAGCTGTTCCGCCGAAGCCCTCGGCCTAAGGGAGACTTCTCCAGCCGGGCCCGCGAAGTGGTAAGCTGGTTGCTATGGGAACCGCGAGCGGGGAGATGGGGGCGGATCCGCACTCCGGACCCTGGACCCCAAACTAGACCCTGCCTAGTAAGCTCTCAGTGCAGACAGGGAGTCTCTTGCGAAACAGAAGAGTCAGTCTTACGGAGCCGACAGCTGGCTGGGGTTGGCGACAGGTTTATTCTCAGGAAGAGGGATGCATATCCGGACACTGTAGGAAGTAAGACTTGAATTGGTGCTTGGATATTCTTGAAATCAGGCTAACCTTTAGAGGCAGTGAGTTTGCCGACATCGCTGACTAGAGTGCCAGGGAAAAGTTCCCGCAGTCCTTCGCTTCCTGTTGCAAAGCTCACCACTCTACCTTTGCCCCTTTCACGTACTTGTTTGGGCCTCCTCTTGCGCATAGGATTTTAAATCCACGCTCAACTGAACTCTACTTTACCTTGGCCTCAGTAGGACTCAGTACCCCCTGAACTGGTTTAGGATATCAACAGTGTGGGGTAAAAGGTACGGGAAGCGTACGTTTCAGCAGCACTTAAAAACAACACCCATTGTTGTTACTGTCCCCTAAACGGCTTTTGTTCATCTCCAAAGTAGGAACCTTCTCAATAAGGGCAGAAACAATGTTGACGTAGCACAACCAACAGCATTGCTTAGTAAATGATCCTTTGATGAATGGATGAACGAGCGAACAGATATTGACTGTCACCACTAAACAGGAAAAAGAGAAAATGCTACAAATTCCTTTGTATCTATGACACCAGGTTACATGTTATTTTTGTAGCACTAGAGGCATATGCAGTCAGTCCTATTTAAGAAACACACACATACAGAGACAGAGACGGGAGGGGGGAGGGTAGAGATCCAAAGCATTGAAAGGTACATGTTAAGGGGGAATCTTAAGCTTTAAGCTTCACTGATTTTCCAGTAAGTTTACCACTGCTTGACACATAGTTTATTGCTTGGCACTTTTTTTTTTTTTTTGAGACAGAGTTTCCATGTAGACCAGGCTGGCCTTTCTAAACTCAGAGAAAGATGGCTGCCTTTGCCTCCCAAGTGCTGAGATTAAAGGCACACCAGATGACACTCAGATTTTTTTAATTAATACACATATGCACGAGTTAATGAATGACTGTTTACAGATAATGTCCAAGCACAGAAGGGTGAATGGACCAAATAAATGCCATGTCACTTCCTCCAACAATAAACATCTACTTACCTTCTGACCAGCACTGTTTTAGAGTAACAGGATACTTACTCCTGTTGAGTTGTACGGTTCCAGTGGAGGAGGTCCACATACAAACAAAACTCTGCAGTGTGCCTTGAAGGAGTATTGTAGGGCACAAGGGAAACAGTGGTTTGTTCCACTTGGTGGAGAGGCTTCATGGGACAGTGATGTAAAAAACACATTCTTAAACAAGAATAGTTGGTTTCCTTGCAGAGAAGGCCAGGAAGGACAATTGCAGGTTAAGACAACAGCATATGAGGTGGGTCACCCAGACTCCTGGATGGCCACACACCCAGGAGTATATGGGCAGTGCAATTGGACTTGATGAGCTATTTTTAAAAGGGGGAGCATGAAGTTAGGGTAGGTAAAGAGGTGGAGTGGATTTGAGAGGAGTTAGAGGGGGAATTGTGGTAAATATGATGAAAACACATCATATGGAATTCTCAGTGAATTAACAAAATGTCTTTTGAAAAGGGACCAGCATGCACAGAGGCACTGAAGTAGTACTAGCTTAACTTAGATTGGTTTGATTAACCTAAGAATGTAGGACACTCAGAAAAAAATAAGAGTAGTATGGCAGCCAGAAGGGAATCTCGAAGGACCTTGCAGATCACTCTGCATTTTGAACTTTGCCTTCTAGACCAGTGGTTTTCAGCCTTCCTAATGTGCAACACTTTAATACAGTTCCTCATGTTGTGGTGACCCCAACTCGAAAACTGTTATTTGCCTTGCTACTTCATAACTGTAATTTTGCTACTGCTATGAATTGTAATGTGAATATCTGATATGCAGAATGGCTATATGTGATCCCAGTGAAAGGGACTTTCAACTATCCAAAGGGTTCATGCCCACAGGTTGAGAAATACTGCTTTAGACAGTCCAGTATTATGTGGACAGTGAAGCCCTGAAGAAGACCCAGGAGACCACACTGTTATCTCAACCATGTTAACTATTAGTCAGACCTATGCTATCAAGCAAGGTTTATTTAACTATAAAATAGCCCCCCCTTTTTTATTCTAAGGAGAATTTAAAAACTATTGGATCCATCACATATATCATATATCATATGTCACATGTCTTATCATACTGTGGATCACGTTGAAGGGGGCATGCCTCAGGTTGAAGTGAAAGGAAGGGAAAATAAGGTGTCCTCCATCTCTGTTCTGAGTCTGGCCATGCTGTTGCCAAGGTTGTTGTGACACAGTGTGTGGATGTCACAGTTTTGGTGTGTTGATACTTTTCCTGAAATTGGTGGTTTTTTGATGCTGCACAGATTTTCAGTCCTTAGGAATAAAGGATAGAACAGTAGAGTTAAGAAGTACAGTTCAGCTAGCAGCCCTGTGAAGAGAAAGCCCTGTTATCCATTGGTTAGACCGCTCCCCAAGTGCTGAAAATGCATTTTTGGCTATTTTCGTTTAAGAGCCTCAGGGATGAAGATCCTTGGAAGGTTCAGGCAGCCCCAATAGTGGAAAGACAGTTCTGAGTTAAAGATGAAGTATCAGCAGTGTCAAACACCTGGAACCTGTGCATGCATTCTTCTCACATAGTGCCTCTGACCACAGAAGCCAGCGCTCATTTCCCAGTAGATCCTGCAGCTCAGAATCCCTCAACTCTGTGCCCTACAAGCCATTATCAACTGTTGGGCTTGATATTATGCCCTACAAGCCATTATCAACTGTTGAAATCTGCTTGATATCCTACTGGGCAAATTGATAAAATGTCGATTGCATACCTCAATAGAACCGTACGTAGACTTTTTCAGAACGCGCTTTTAAAGGGCCTGTAGTGCATCTTGTTCAGAATAATCATTTTAGTAGATGGGAAGACATCTCTGTTCTGAGTCTGGCCAGGCTGTTGTCAAGGTTGTTGTGACACAGTGTGTGGATGTCACAGTTTTGGTGTGTTGATAGTCTAGGTGTTAACCTAGACAAGTGCAGTGACTGGCCCCAACTCTTTCCAGCTGAGGTCATGGGCTAGAGCCAGAGGTAGAAGCCAATTTTTTTTTTTTTTTTTTTTTTTTTTTTGGCATTTTAATGTTTTTCCTTCCTCTGTTCTTATATCTTAAATATCTACCTAAATTTTTAAAAAGATTTGTTTTCATTTCTGTGTGTATGCCTGTGTGTCTGTGTGACTGTGCCATGCATGTGGGGATGCCCTTGGGAGGCTAGAAAAGGACATCAGATCCCCTGGCACTAAAGTTCCAGGTGGTTGTAAGCTGACTGACATGGGTGCTGGGAACCTAAGTCGGATGTCTGCAAGAGCAGTAACTACTCCTCATCACTGAGCCACTGATCACACCACCCAATAATTTTAAACAAAGTTTTTGTACTTTCCAACATCAAAGAGTTTTCTTCTTGAATTTGTAGTGCATGGGACTTGGAGCAAAAAGGCTTAGATTTGAATCTCTTTCTGGCTGTATGAAGTCAGGAAGTTATTTGACCTGTTATCCTTCTTGCTAAGAGTAATGGCCATGCTGGCATGGTGGCACATGCCTGTAATCCCAGCACTCAGAGGGACAGAGGCAGGCAGATCTCTGTGAGTTCAGGTCAGCCGGGTCTACAGAGTGAGTCCAGGACAGCCAAGGCTACATACACAAAGAAACCCTGTCTCAAACAAACAAACAGACAGACAAACAGAGTGCTAGTCACTTGACTGAGGAAATGAGAAATGGTGTGCAAGTGACTACAAGAGTCTGAATTCTTTGGTTACAAGTAACTTATGAACCACTCAGAACAAAATATGTGTGTCGGCTTGGTGTGTCTTCCTGTAGCTCCAATTCATAAAACCCCAGCAATGGGCCTGATCCTGCTTGGATCTTAAAACTTTTGTTGTTTTAGGAGTAAGGTTCTTTAGTTAGCTAAGTCATATATCTGCTCCAGTATGTGGGTTGGATATTATGATTATAGTCTCATCAGAACCTTAAGAGGAGAGGGCTGTGTCCAGGAATGGGGGAAAGGGACGTTTCTTATGGTGCTTGACATTCCTGATGTTACCAAGAGCATTGTGTATCCATTCATTACTTATCTGTTAAGATAGATGCTTCCCACCTTACCTGCTTGTTGTCTTGAAAGACTTTGGGAATGGCTGGCCCTGGAGGTGCCATTTGGTGTCAGAGAGATCTACATAGGTACCCAGCACCAGGTGAGCAGTAGGGGCTCCTGAGTAGCATGGAACAGGAAGCCAGGAAACCTTGTTTGGTGCTAAGTCTGCCCAGGAAGTTACTGCAACCGCTCAGGCCCACTTACCACATTAACAAGACTGAGAGCTTAGACTAGCTAGCCTTCCTTAGCTAGCCATGGGAACTTCCAAGTCATAGATGTTTTGATTCCAAGTAAGGTTATAGTGATTCTGAGTTGTTGAGAAAATTTCCTCCAGATTAGGCAAATAATAAAGTTTTGTTCTTTATTATATCTTGCTTTTGTGAAAGTTGAATTTATTTGTTGTGGTTTTTTTTTTTTTTTATCTATCCACCCTTAGGAATTCATTAGTTCTTCAGTTCTTGGCTGAAATCCAAAGTTTTTTTTTTTTTTTTTTAATATATTTATTTTAACTGGGTGTGGTGATGCACACCTTTAGTCCACCACTTGGGAGGCAGAGGTAGGCAGATATCTGAGTTCAAGGCCAGCCTGGCCTACAAAATTAGTTCTAGAACAACTAGAGCTACACAGCAAAACCCTGTCTTGAAAAACAAAACCAACCAACCAAACAAACAACTATATATTTCACTCTGTGTGTGCGGGGTGTGTGTGTGTGTGTGTGTGTGTGTGTGTGTGTG